CCCCCCTGAGTGCACAAATTTTTGTGCACCGGGCCTCTAGTTCTATTATAAAGAGTTCAATTCTGATGAAAAACTGATTTTTGGTAAACCACTTTGGTGACAGCTCATGTGCTTGAGTCCTGAAAAAATTTTCCAACGTAATTTAATTTTTGTTATCGACCAGGTTTCAGGAGGATGTTTTCCAGACTGGTGAAATTGGAGGACACTGTAAGCTTGATGTGCATACATTGATGTCTGAAGGTCAGCGCAAAAGCCCCCTGCAGTCTTGGTGAGATTTTTTTTTTTTATTGTGTTTGTAATATATTTGCCTTTATTTCTGGAACTTGCAGATTTTGGTAGGGAATCCCAAAGGGAAAGTTTTACTTCATTTGTGAATAATTTGGCATGAGCTTTCAGGAATTGATGGCTACAGAGCAAATCCACCAGTTATAACTGAATTAAATATGTTTATAAAATATTAGGAAGTATGATATAGTACATACTTTTTGCTAATGAAAGAAAAAAATGAGTTAAAAATAATGAATTTTTATTAACTCGTAATTTCTGTGTTTTGGGGAATACATTTAAAAAAGAAACACAATTTATTGAAGTCTGTAACAAGCATAGAGAAAAGTATATAGTTTGGATTATGAACGAGTGAACCTACCTGTGTGACTCTGACCCAAGTCAGAAATAGACCATCATCAGGGGACATCTGTAATACTTTCAACAATAAAGATAAATTAAAAAAAATAGATCATCACCAGCACCCGACTCTCTCCCAGTCCCAACCCCCGTCCTGCTCTCCAAAGATAAACGCTATCCTGACTTTCAACACCATTGATCAGCTTTTTGAACTTTATATAAATTGGGGAATACATTTTGATTTAAAACATTTTTAAAATTAAACTAGTTCTGTGTTTACTAAGAAAGTTGCCATCTCTAGAAATGAAGGAATTAGGGTAATTTAAAATTTTTTTTAATTTTAAAATACTTTTAGACTCATAGAAGTTTAAAGATACAAGGAGTTCCCATTGTAGCCTTATCCTGGCTTCCTCAAATGGTGACATCTTACATAACCATAGCACAATGACCAAAACCAGGAAATGGACACTGGTTCAATATTAATAATGAACATATTTGGATTTAAGTATTTGCTTACATACTTTCATTTTTTGGGATGCATATTTCTGAAGTTTCAGGGGGCAGACCTGTTCCAGCATCCCAGAGAGATGCTCTCGCCACCTCTTTACGGCTGGAGGTCCCGGGCACCTGGTTCCGGTGTGCATGGGCCGTTTCCCCACCACCACGCAATTCTCCAGAACCACCCGGGGGTCCTGCCTTTCAACTCAATTCTGATGCTATGTCCCAAGGTTAAGTGTTCAGTCCCTCAAGGCCAGGTTGTCACGTGTCCTCTGACTATAGGTTGGGTTTAGTTTGGCAGAGCTTTGAAGAACATTGTAGTTATTAAGTGGTTTATGTTGAAAGCATGTGGCTCAGGAACACCAGAATGTACGAGATGCGCAGGGCACGTGTGGGGAAGGGGCGCCGGGCTTCCGTGTCATCTCCAGGCACACCAGTCTCCAAATCTCCAAGCATTCCCCAACCCGGAAGCTCTCTGTTTCGTTTTCTATGGAGGCTTCATTGGTAGGCATTGCTGATGAAATCACTGGCCACTGATGGGTTCAGCCTCTAGCCTGTCTTCCTTTCCCAGAGGTCAGCAGGTGGGACTGAACATTCCAAACCTCTCATCACATGGCTGGTTCTTCTGGAAACCAGCTCCCAACTTTAAGGGTGAGCCAAAAGCTAACCCGCTAACACAACGAAAGACACCTTTATGATTCTCATGACCTCAGCAATCCTAAGGGTTTTAGGAGCTCTGTGCCAGAAATGGGGGTGAAGACCTAATATAATCCTATCTAATAATAGAGAAACATGGTAATTAACCGTAACTTCGCTACCCTTCCCATTGGCTAATCAGCGAGATATGCAAATTAACTGCCAACCAAGATGGCGGCCGGCAGCCAGGCAGCTGAAGCGAACAGGAGGCTTGCTTGCTCCAGTGAAGGAGGAAGCCAAGGTTCCCTGCCTGCCGCCGCCCAGCTCTGAGCTGCACTCTAAGCAACTATGTTGCAATTATAGAAGCTAAACAAGCCTCAGAGCTGGAGCTGAAACAGTGTTTCAATTATAGAAGCCAAACAAACCCAGATCAGCAGCCGCTCTCAGCTCCAGTGACAGCCATAGAAGGTAAATAAATCCCAGAATAAAAAATAAAAAAAAAGGACCGTTTTGGTTCTCTTTTCATCTCCC